AAAATAATTGTTTCATATCAAAGTCCTTTTTATCTGCCTCTTTCACACTACCCATAATACACCTTGTTTACCCTTGTTTATCTGATACATAGTGACTCAAGGATCATCGGCCCAGTTCATAAAATGCCTTCAATTTTTTCTCCTGTGTGTATTTCTAGCAATTCCTGGTGGGGGTGTGATGTCTATTCTTCAAATCCTGACCCTAGACCTATTTCAGACCAATACCTATTAGGCAAATGTAAGGCAGCTCACCTCCGGGATTTTCTGTTCACAAAATGTACGCTATCAATAATAAGTTAGTAGTTAATAATTATTATTAACTACTGACAAATCCGGGGGGGGGGGGAGTATTCCTGGGACTTCATGGTGGGGGGCTGTGTTGTTTTGCTCTCCAAATCCTGACCCTAGACCTTATTTTAGATCAATACCTATGAGACAAATCTAAGGAAAACTCCCCGAAAATTTTCATTGTTTTTAGTTATGGTGATAAACACTATACATTATTAACTATAAAGCACATTAAGCAAAGGCAGTGATTAAATGAAGACGTGTTTGAAGCTAGCGTAATATGCTTTTTCATCGTCTCCTTCAAAAGATGTTATGATGAGTACCTTTTGTGGTTTTTCTTAGTTTAATTTTTGTTGAAGTTTAAACCTTTTGATGAGTTTTTTCCCTTCCAAAACGTGATTGCAAATCTCTCTCTGTGTGTAGAGCTCTAGTGTGGGTGTGCGTGTGTGTGTACATCCATTGAATAAAGATGTCTCTCAAGTTATCGTTGGCACTTTTTTTCAGTGCATTTTACAAACGATGGTACGATGGGTTGCTTTGAGGTTTGTCATTGCTTTATGTTGAAGTTCAAAACGTTTAAAATGTGACGACCAATGTCTCTTTTTATCTTATTGCAATTCTTGCTTTGAATATGAAATGTCATTCCTTGCTCATTCTAGATCACCACCTCCAAAAAAATTTATATATATGTTTACTAGGACAGTTAGAAAGGCTTTAAATGCAATATCAAACAAAAATGAAACCTAAATTAAATTTGCTTTGTTAGTTTTAAGAACCAGAAATGAGAAATGTACTGCTCATTAATGGTGTTTTATGACCCATAGAATGACAATAATTTTTAGAATTTCTGGATAGGTCAAATCAGTCACGTAATACTGTCACACTTTATTTCGGGGGGGCAGAGGGATTGGGGCAGGGGTGCGTGAAAATAACGCTTATTGTTACCTGCTTAGAATGGCTAACTTAGTTACTTTGATTCATAATGGTGGAATTTGAAAAGTTACAGCCTCGATTTAAAAATGGTACTCATTTTTCTCGTTACGAAAGTCTTTCAAAAGGGTACAATGTTCAGATGAGTTTATGTTTAACTCTCTCATGAGATGCTATGTCACACAATGGTCATGCAGTGACAATGTGGTGGCCTTGACAGTTTGTACAGACACCCTCCCAAGAAAAAAAATTTGCATACCAAATTAGAAGTTATGTAAAAATGACCAGATAAGGAGCTAAAGCATTGACCTCATTGGCATATAAATTTCAGTTGGAGTGACAAGGCACCTATGTCTCCAAAGAAAATTCTGAAAGCTGACTTATCTGATATTTACCTAAGTGTACAGAATTTTTTCCATAATTAGATAAGAACCTGTTTCAAATTTTAGGCTAAACAGGTTCTTATATACAGTGTAGAAGGGGGGCTTAACTGGCTCATTTTTGCCTAACAGGCTCTTAAAATCCAGGTTCTCAGTCATGGGGTTTACTGTATGCCAAAAGTTTCTGTGTGCTGCCTTAAGCAGGCCACAACATATTCAATGTGTGAGTATGAAAAAATTAACCCCACTGGTATCAACACTTCTTTGCAGGTTAACATTTTAACTGTAGTATTGAAATAGCCCACCTTCTAGAGGCTCTGATACGGCAAAATTCTAATAAGCAGAGGGTAAGTGACAACAAACACAGTTAACGATGGGCTGAATACAGAAATGCAAAAACGTGAAACTATATTAATTGCAAGTATTTGAAATTTTGTCTAGGGACATAATTTATGTGCCCTCACATCCACAAAAAGACCTCTTTCTACATTCGTATATATTAAAATTCAGCATGATAGTAAGTCCAGGAGTACTGTAGCTCTCATGCTAAATTTTAAAATACAAAATCCCTTGACGGACATCTTGCTACACCATAAATTGGACCACTAGAGCTGGTCCCTACTTTGCTCTGCTTCCTTTATATGATTCTTTAAAAGACGGACCTCCGTAAGACATACCCTTTTTTCTGATCCCAGAGGTGTCCATGGAGAGTTAGCCAAATAAAAAATTGAAAGCAGGCTAAACTGTGCTCACATTTCTTGCAGAATTTTGATCCAAAAAAGTCTAACAGCATCATCTTCCAAATCAAAAGCAAAACACATCCACATTGAATTTTCACATTATTATT